AAGAAAGTTTCCTTCCATATATAAATCTCTCCTTGACTTTTTACAATAATGAGCTAATACTATATTTGTCCTTCTCTGATTGACTTATTTCATTCAGCATAATGTCCTCCAAGTTCATCCATGTTATGTGGTGTTTTGCAGATTCTACATTATTCTTTGGTGTTGCATAGTATTCCATTGTGTGTATGTACCATAGTTTGGTTATCCATTCTCCTGTTGATGTGCACGTAGGTTGTTTCCATCTTTTTACTATTGGAAATAGTACTGAGATAAACATGGGTGTGCATATATCTGTTCTTGTCCTGGGGTCTCACTTTTTTAGGATATATACCTAGTAATGGGATTGCTGGGTCAGATGGTATTTCCAACTTTTTAAGGAATCATCATACTGATTTCCACTGTGGTTGTATCATATGACAGTCCCATCACATCCGCCCACCCAGCAGTGTGTGAGAGCACCAATCTCTTCACATTCCCGCCAGCATTTGTTATTTTATGTCTTCTTGCACTTTGCCATTAGTGCTGGGGTGAGATGGTATCTCATTGCTTTGATTTGCATCTCTGATGGCTAATGATTGTGAGTATCTCCTCAAGTATTTGCTGGCCACCTGAATATCCTCTTTGGTGAAGTGTCTATTCATGTCTTCTGCCCATTTTTAAAATGGTTTGTTAATCTTTTTTGAGGTTTTGGAGTTTTCTATAAATTTCAGAGATAAGTCCCTTGTCAGATATGTAATTATTGACAAGTATGAATTAGTTGCTGTCATTTTGTTAATGCTTTTTCATTATGTTGATTTATTTGTTCCATAAAATTTTCTGTGCTGTGGTTATTTTGTTTATGAATGGTGTTATCATTTCCTTCATTGCTGTTTTTTTAGTGTTTGCTAAATATTTGTACTGGACCTCTTTTTTATTTTGATGTGAAGGTTTATCATTTTTCTTTGAGGTTACCCTGTGGGTGATTTATAATTTTCTCCCCAAATTTAGAACAATCTGTTCTATCTTGTAGTTGTCTTGACTTCCTACTATTTAGAAGTTCTGTAAGTACACAATTTTTTCCTTCTTTTTGGCTTGTAGTTGTCCTCATTTGTCAGTTGATGTCTCTGGTTCCCTGTTTACAATCTTGTAGGCTTATTTACTTTGGATTCTTCTATAACTGGGTTGGTTTCTGGGTTATGCCATCATGTGTGTTAATGTCAGTTGTTGTTTGCTGTCAAATAGCACTTTTCAAACTGTTGGTGGAAACTCATTGATGGCTTATAAAAATCAGTTTAGTGGGTGTGGTATGCATTTAAAACAAACAAACAAAGATATAATCTAAATTGCCAGATTTAGCAAATAAAGATACAGGATGACCCAGTTAAATTAGAATTCAGATGAACAAGGAATGATTTTTTGTATGGCTAGGTCCCTTGCAATATTTAGGAAATATAAATTCCAAAGTTTATTATATTTAAATTCTCCACTTATTTTTCTGACTGCTCAACAAAGAACACTGCCATGCAGTTATTCTAAGTGCATTTTGCTTAGGACAGAAGTATGAGGATGTAAGACCATTTTGAGTGTTTCAGTTATATTCAAGATTATAATAGCTTAACTAGAGCAGTAAGATAACTTTCCTAGTATTTGTGTGTATATGATTCATTTAGCTTAATAAGATTGACTATTTATTTGTATAAAAGTTAGTGGATGAAATACTTAAGGAATCTAAGTAGGTAATCAAACTTTTTTTGTCTTTCTTTTTCAATAGCAACTTTTTAACTGTCAGTCTCTACACAAATTGAGTTTGCCAGACAATGATTTAACAACATTACCTGCATCCATTGCAAATCTCATTAATCTCAGGGAACTGGATGTCAGCAAGAATGGTAAGATATTTTTCTAACTTTTTTATTCTTGGGAGCTTGTTACATTATTACGAGTTGTATTCTGTTTTAAAAAAATATAAAATTAAAAATCAAATATATTTTCAAATTAGCTTCATCTATGGGCAGTCTACTTCCATAGTGATACAGCCTTGGAAACCCAAGGACGGGTTGCTATGAGTCTGGTCTGACTTGATGGCTCAACAACAACAACAAGATAAAATAAAAAAGGAACTGGTGGCACAGTGGTTAGACACTTGGCTGTTAACTGAAAGGTTGGCAGTTCTAACCTACCAGCTATTCCTCAGGAGAAAGATGTGACAGCCTGCTGGAAAGCCTATGGAGCAGTTCTACTCTATACTGTAGGGTCATTATGAGTTGGAATCATCTCAGTGGCAATGGGTAGTGGTGGTGGTAGTAGTAGTAGTAGTAGTAGTAGTAGTAGTAGTAGTAAGCAGTATTTTCAGTAAATGTGATGTCAATTTCCATTTTCTTTTAAGGTTGTCTAACCTGTTTCACATCCAAACATAGTAAAATTTAATATTTTATGTTAAAGTTTTGGTTTGGAATTGGTTACATGCATATATACCTTATATATACGTACACATACACACATACTGCAGTAAGGGCATGGAAGCAGCATCTTCTGACCTCCTCAAGCCTCACAAGTGGGAAAGAGAGTCACCATCAACAGCCCAAGTCTTGTTCCTATGACGCCAGACATGCCATCATCCTGTAGCCTTTTTACTAATTTTGACACCAGCCTTCACTCCTACGCCTCTCACTACTCTAGTAGGTTAAATAATTTGTTGCACTGACCACTCAGAATTCACAAACAATACTCACGATTTTGGTGTTTATTAGGGAAGTAATAGGCTTCAACTCAGGTTCAGGAATGCTCTCAGAATACAATTCTCCAACCAGGGACAGTCTCCCCTTTGCTATGCCCTCAGGCATACCTCTCTGGCCCTTGGCCTCTTGGGTTGTCCTCTGCCCTGCTTGGGCAAGTGTTACAAAGCTTTTATAGCTCTTATAGCTCTGCCAATAGGTACACCTACGTGCACCCCACTCCACCAGCAAGCTTTCTGCCCAACAGGCACTATTTAGCTTTCTTGCTCTGTGGGGCAGGTAAATGCCTCACACGCCCTTGTGCCATCCCTCAGTCAGGCATCTTTACCAGGTGTCTCTGCCAGGGAGGTCCAGTGAAGGGATCTGGGGTCCAAGAACATGTTCCACTCCACCTTCTCCACTCCACCTCTACTTCTTCTCTCTTGATGGCAGTGAGATCATCCCCTCTATTGCCTTTAGCAGAGCTCATTTTAAGCCCAGAAGCATAGCAAAACTAACCAATCCTCACATTAGAGTTCCATATACCTTATTTGCATGGTCTCATCGAGTAATCTGGTGGGACTCATGAAGACCATGATTAGAAAAGCTATACCAAGTACTTCACTGCACCACACACACATAGAGTGCATTATTCATGATAGTTTAAAGCAATGGGGTGAATAAGTACTGTTTTTTTAAATATTAAATCTTTTAATAGTGTGCTGTGGAAATACATAAAAAGTTTATATAAAGTTACATATTTATATGTGTTTACTTCTGTTGTTTATAATGATGAGAAACTAAATAACTGCATCTTCCATTGTTGATATTGTAATGTAGTTAAAAAATCAATTTTGACATGAAATATTTACATTGTAGTGTTAAAAGGTAAAAAGACAGTTGTGGAATGTTAGAAATGATACCATTTAACAAATATTTATTGAAAAGCAGTCTGTACCAGTAGTGTCTTAGGAGCCTGAATTAGTTAATAATGAGAAATAAAAGAAAATGGTAAGTGCCCACCTGTTGTATTTAGTCTTGTCTTTGTGGTATCTAAAATATATTTCAGAATATTATGTATTTATTATGTACTTACCTTGGTAGGAGATGGAATTAGGCCCTTGAAATTTTTAGAACAAGTATGTGAAAGTACAGTGAGAATAATTTTCAAATGCTCTGCTGAAAGATACTGATTAAAACAATAAACATGAAGACGTAGTCAAGTTAGTCTATATAATATTTAGAGAAAACCTTTATAAACAAATCCAAATAGGTTAGTGCAGTGGCACCAGCAAATACTTAGTAATTATGTTCTGAAGCATTGGTTCCAAGGTCTGTCTGTCTTTGTCCTCATAATGAGTTTCGAGCAGTACTTGTGCTGTCATTTCAATTCTGCTAAATTTTGAGGATTCAGTATGATTTTTAGGACTGATTGAAATAGTCATCCTATTTTCACAGCTGACAGTTTGCTTTGGCAAGTGAATTAAACAGGTATCTTCCCATCTCTGCCCCCCTTCTCCCAAAAAAGATTTTTGCAGTGAGCAATCCATACATAAAAGAATATAATAGCATATTTTATAGGAAAATGATAAAATTAACATTTCTTTTTAAAGGTTTTATAGTTTACTCATTCACCCTACTTTAACATGACAGTTAGTAGTAGTTAGTGCCCTAGTGGTTTTCAGTATAGGCTTAATTAATTCTCAATAAACAGTAAATTTTAGCTTTAAAACTAGTATTTTTGCTTTTGAGTCATTTAATTAAAAATTTGGTTGCATACAGAAAATGTGCATTTAAAATTTTAATTTAATTTGTATTTATATTGAGTTAATTTAAAATGATATTCTGCTTTTTCTACAACTTACTTAAAAAATTTCTAATCCAAATTAAAAATCTGCAAAAAAGCTTAAAGAACACCCAGAGTTTCTCTGGTTTGTTAGAATTTTACCACATTTGCTTTATTTCTCTCTTTTGTATATATGTATATATGGATTTTAATAGGTTAAGAGAAAGGATAAATACGTATTATTGTATATATAAAATATCTTTTTCCTAAACCTATTTAAATTTACATTGGAGATGTAATGAACTACACTATACACTACTAAATATTGCAGTATGCCTCTCCTAATATCAAGGAAAGTATCTAATATCATGGAAGAAGGAAGGGGCCATCTAGTTCTCAAAGAATTGGCCAGTGAAAACTTTATGAATAGCAGTGAAACATCTGATATATTACCAAAAAACTTGATGAATACCCCTGAAACATGGTCTGATATAGTGACACAAGATGGCCCTTAGTTTGGAAGGCACTCATGATATGACTGGGGAAGAGCTGCCTCCTCAAAGTAGAGTCTTCTGTAATGACGTGGATGGAGTAAAGCCTGGACCTCTGGTTGCTGATGTGACATGATTCAAAATGGGAAGAAACAGCTGCAAAGATCCATTAATAATCAGAACATGGAATGTATGAAATAAGAATTTAGGAAAATTGGAAGTCAAAAATGAAATGGAATGGATAAAGATCAATATTCTACGCATTAGTGAGCTGAAATGGACTAGTTTTGGCCATTTTGAATCAGACAACTATATGATCTACAATCCCAAGAATGACAAATTGAAGAGGAATGGTGTGGCATTTATCAACACAAAGAATGTTTCAAGGTCTATCCTGAAGTACTGTGCTATCAATGATAGAATAACATCCATATGCCTACAAGGAAGACTAGTTAATACTATTGTTCTAGTTACCTAGTGCCACACTGACAAGAAATATACCACAAATGGGATGGCTTGAAGAAACAGGAGTTTATTCTCTTACAGGTTTGGAGGCTTTAAGTCTGAGTTCAGAGTGCCAGGCTCTAGGGTCTGGGTGAAAGCCCTTTAACCTTGGGCTTCAGCTCTGCCTCCTGCTCCCAGCCCACTGAAGCTGGAGGATTTTTTTCCACTCAGCTGCTGGCTACTGAGGCTAACAATAACAAGCCCAGGGTTGACAAGTAAAAAGGCACAGTCCCAATGTTACCAAAGCACATGGCAGGCCATTAATTCAATTGATTGAAAGTCTCAAGGTCGGCAGAGCATGGCAGATTGCTGAACAACACAGCTACATGCAGGGTTCAAAAGTGCCATAAGCTAGAGATGGTTCCCCAAGGCTTCTCCATATATACAGGAAGCAGATCACATTCCTAAGGGAGCTACTCAGCTGCTCACAGTAGATTTCACCATGGAGTTGATTACCAATCTCATCATGGCTGCCCAGCCACTCAACTAGGCCCAGCCAAGTTGACACACAAACTTAACTACAACAACTCTTACTATTCAAATGTATGCATCAACCACCAAAGCCAAAGATGAGGAAATTGAAGATTTTTACCAACTTCTGCAGTTTGAAATTGACCAAACATGAAATCAAGATATGTTAATTCTCACTGGTGATTGGAATGTGAAAATTGGAAACAAAAAAGAATCACCAGTAGTTGGGAAATACGGCCTTGGTGATAGAAATGATGCTGGAGATTGCATGATAGAATTTTGCAAGACCAATGACTTAATTCATTGCAAATACCTTTTTTCAACAACATAAATGGCATTTATACATGAGGACTTCACCAAATGGAATGCGCAGGAATCAGATTGACTATGTCTGTGGCAAGAGGCCATGGAGAAGCTCAATATCTTCAGTGAAAACAAGGCCAGCAGCTGAGTGCAGAACAGACCATCAACTGCTCATATGCAAGCTCAAATTGAAGCTGAAGACAATTTAAAACAAGTCCATGAGAGACAAAATATGACCATGGTTAAATCCCACCTCAATTAGGATACTTATCTAAAGAATAGATTTGACACATTGAACACCAGGGACCGAAAGCCGGGGGAATTGTGGGATGACATCAAGAACATCTTCCATGAAGAAAGCAAGAGGTCATTAAAAAGACAAGAAAGGAAGAAAGGACCAAAATGGATATTGGAAGAGACTCTGAAACTAGCCCTTGGGAGGAGTAAAGCAAATGGAAGAAATGACAAGACAAAAGAGCTAAACAGACAGTTTCAAAGAGCAGCTTGAGAAGACAAAGTCAATTATTGTAATGAAATGTGCAAAGACCTGGAGTTAGAAAACTAAAAGGGAAGAACATGCTTAGCATTTCTCAAGCTGGAAGAACTGAAGAAAAATTTCA